AACCCTAGCAACTCCCTTGACCAGAAACTACTACAAAGAGAAGCAGGATTCTGCCCAGTGGTAGTACCAGAAAAAAATGGGAGCACAGAAACAGCAGAATATATTTCTAAGTGGGTGGAGAAGAAAAGTAAGAGCATATGCTAAAGACAGGAGTTCAGAAATCAGCGGCTAGTGGGGGCAAGTTCCTTGTTTATGGGGGTACTTACCTCTCTGCACCCCCACAGAGCAACCTATGAGTCTGCTATAATAAAATGACCAATAAAAATGCAAATTAAAATACCCGTTTCAGATTTATAAGTCACAACAATTCCAGCAGTGCCATGCAGTTGTTCTTTTAAGTAAATAAAGTATACGGTATTCTAGCCCTGCTCACATTAATTTTCTTGGATGATCAAGAGCGCTTTTGTTCCGTTTTTCTCTCTTGGGTAATTGCCTTGGCAGATTCTGTTATATAATTTTTATTTCTCCCCCTGTAACCTGTTTGAAAGTTTCTGTTCTGTTTTCATTCTTAAAATCTGTTTGAAGTTTTCTGAACTATTTTCATTCTCAGTGCATGTTTGCTCTCTAAACTTTCAGTTTATGGGATTTATTCTTCCGAACACATATAAATAACTGAGTTAGCCTGAATTCTGCAGGCCGGTACACCCAGGAAGCAAAACCAAACATCATTTTCCATTTCTTAACTCATGTCTGAATTGCTCTCCTGCAGCTCACAACTCTGCGTGGATCCTTGAAGCTATCTGACCTCATTCTGCTCTTTCAGTTCACCTCCCCTCACCAGTTATTCCTCTTTTCCTCTGTCCATGTGACCTTCCATTGTTTGAAGGTGATTAATTCATTTGTTCTGCCTCAGTTAGCTGGAATAACTCTCTTCTGCCAGTCATTTCTCCCTTATAATATTGCTTCCCACCCCCTCCACCTCTTCCACAGAGAAATCCAATGGCTCAGCTTCACAAGCAGGCAGCTGACACTGGTATAAACCAGCATTGGGATTCTTTGAACTTCTGACAGAAAAACTGAAAAGAAAATGGTGCATAATGTAACAATCAGGACAGCCCCTCCTCCAGCAACCATGGCAACAACACCAATGTGCCTATCATAGAACATGTCCATATCAACAACATATGAAAGAAACTGCAGAGTCAGAATGCCATGTTCCATTGCAATGGTGGGAAGAAAGACAGGCAACGTTTGAGGGATCTCAATTATTATTACTATTTTATTATTTATTAAACTTCTATACCAACCTTCATCTGAAGATCACAACACAAAAATACAAAATGAGAACACAAAATACATAATAAAACAAACACAAACCAATAACTCCCCTCCCACAAACACGTTTAAAAGGCCATATAATGTTAATCAGCCAAAGGCTGAGTTATAGAGAAACATTTTCGCCTGGCGCCGAAAGTTACATAATGAAGGTGCCAGGTGAGAGTCCCTGGGGAGAGCATTCCACAAATGGGTGCCACCACTGAAAAGGCCTGTTGCCATATGTCCAGATTTCCCCGGACATATCAGGAATACTGCAGTCGGCAGCAGCGTCCGGGCAGAAATTGGGGAAATATCTGGGAAAATCTGCACACATGGCAACGCCATGTATAACATGTTGCAGTAATCTAACCTGGAGGTTACCAGATCATAAGACAACATAAGTTAGGCTATCCCTGTTCAGAAAGTGGCACAGCTGGGCCTTGTGAAACACCCAGGTCTGGTGAGAGGGAGGCATTCTGGCAGCGGCAGAAGTGGTGGGATGGGTGGAGCACAGTGGGAAATAGGGCAGGAGGAAGCATGTACCTGTTTTGGCAGTGGAAGAAGCAGAACATCATGTACTAACATAAGTAGCCAGGGCGGCATCTGTCAATCAGAGATGTCCCAGTCAAATCAGGACAATTGGTGGGTGGGTGTTCCTACAAAGCAAGCCCTAGTTGTTCAGCAGCTGAATAATGGCCAAACTGTTTTCCCTTTCAGCAGCTGCTTTTGTACACTACGCCTTCACAAAAGATGATCTAGGTCAGACTGCTGTGCATTTATTTGTGCAATATCATATATATATGTACACAAACACACAATCCCATTGTTCTCAGTCAGTGAGTAATTTGGTGGAATCTTGCTGTGAGTTTCATTATTATTCAGCAGCAGATAAAGATGACATGGGATGGGGGGGGGGAAATCACAATGACACAACTTCACAGTGCTAGACTTAATGCAAATAAGCTGGTGCCAGCCCTTAGAAAATATCCTTGGCTGCGTTTATAGCTTTTCGGCAGGTCACCTAAATCAGTATTGCTGGTTTTTAATGTTTCCCTTCCTTTCTACGTTTACAGTCCTAATCCCTAATAATGCTTCACAAATCAGAAGCTTTATCATATAATCCTTCTTTACTTAAATCTGCTCTTCGGTCTTAATGAATGAAACACCTTGGGTTGCTTCTTCTCATGTTGTGTTTTTGAACACCAGGAGTTTTCTTGAACATCATCCCCAGGCTGTAATGTGCAGAACATATTAGGGAAAGGGCTGCAGCTTTTCAATGGTAGATCATTTGCTTTCTGTGTTGAGGACCAGCCACCCACATGAAGATAAGAAAGACACAAGAACACATGTATTTGGGTTAATGGGCTAAATAAGGCCACAACTTTATTGGTTACAGCATGTGAGAGGTATTGGCTTAGGCAATGGATCAGACAACTATACATGACAGCATCCCATTCAGCGGGGGTCAGTCGAGGGTTAACAGCCAATGGGAGGAGCTTGTTGATGCAAATACAACTGAAAGCTTCCCCAGGCATCACTGGGGGTCGTGCCATGGCCCTAGCCACTAGCAGGGCGTTGGTATAGACATATTGAGGTAGATGAGCCAGGGTCTTCCTCAGCAGCTTCATATATTCTTATAATAGGGAGATTGCGAGTGCTAACATGCATAGTCCCCATGCTGTGTCCCCCTCATGCGGTTTTGGTGGGGTACATACATGAGTATCTATGTAATATGCCCATACTGAGTGCAATAAGTTCCAATCTGTTAATCAGTTCCATCTTGAGGTTTGAGCCGTGCTATTCCAGTCAGCAAATTTGTTCTTTTAGTTGGGGTATGCTTTTATGTCTGAATCTCATCTCTGTGTGTACATTTTTTGGCTGCAATTAATTCTTTTGATGATGCTTTTGAATGGATGACCTGTTTCAGCTCTGCCTTCTTCATTGTCACTAGGAAAAAAAACTCCCTTTGAAATTAGAGTAATGGATTAATTCTCATTTTAGGAGTTTTCTACCTCCCACCCTTTTGTCTCTCAAAAATGTATTAGCACCTTTGTGCCAGACTTCCAAGAGGAGCAATACAAAGACATTAGTTTCAAAAATTTGCTCATCTTTTCGGACACAGCATAAACAGGTTTTTGTGTGGTAATGGCTAATGAGCCAATCAGTAGTGCATATTTCAAATTAGTTTTTTAATGGACTAGATCTAGACTTATTATGTAATTATGCTACTGGGGAGGCATCAGTACTTTGAGACAATCACTTTGTATTGTCCATGGGCTCTGTCATTTGCATTTGTAGTGCTAGCTAAATTTATTTTTGCCACAGAATTGTAGAGTTGGCAGGGTCCACAAAGGTTCTTTAGTCCAAACCCCTGCAATGCAGGAATCTTTTTGCCCAAGGTGGGGTTCAAACGCACAACCCTGAGATTTAATGCTTTAATGACTGAACTATCCGTCATACCTAAGAAAAATATTTGTGTTTCCCTAGATGTGCCAGAATGTGGATTGATAACCAACTATGGTTAGGCACTTTTAACTGATATCAGTGGTAGAGAGTTGTAAGAATATGCTTAACTCTTCACTGCAATAAATGGGATTTAAGACTGTTTCAGTTTGGCTGGCTCATCCCCACAATTTACATTAATACACTGGGGCAAACTCATTTTTTTGCGATGCAAGAGGTGGAGGAAATAGAAGTAGCAACCACCATCTGTTGCAAATGATACAAGCTACTGTAATAAATTTGACCATTATATAGAGAGTATTATACTGTACAAGAATAATCAGAAATACACTTACTCTTGTTTTCTTATGGTCACATAATAAACATGGGTTTACCCTGTGTATGCAGCAGGGAGGGTACCTTCATCAAGAGTACAGCATGAGCACAATGGGTTGAATCATCTCTGCATACTATGGTCCTGATCCCAACTGGCTCTGCCCTATGAGGCTGCTATTTAACTTCAAAAAACTAATTGCATCAATTGCATTCATGGATTTAACATCAGATCTAATCTGGAATTGAAAAGCAGCTCTACAGACTTCTGGGATGTGAAGATGGTCTATGATAAAATTGTGTTTTAAAAGACAAAAGCATTCGCAACACTCACAACAACACCTACACCCACCCACATAGATACATACCGTATGCACAAACACACACAATTTCCAATATACTCAGAAACTGAGTGTGAACTATAAAGGACAGATTATTTTGCTTAAGTTTTTGCATACTTTCCATCAACAACCAATAATGGCTTCTATCCGGGGCAATATATTTGTCTAGTTGAATTATATTTATGTTTACCAGTGTGGCTGTTCGTATATTATTATCGGATTTACCCCGTGTAAACGAATCATCTTTGTACTAAGCAAATGACGGAGGAATCTGCTGCATCAAAGGGCACTGTCACAAAATGAAATTCTGTTCTGTGGTCTCTCCAGAACGATTTTTCTGGCCTAACAAACAGCAAACATGAGCCAAACTGTGAATAGATAGGGAATATAGGCTGATGCCAACTCTACAAAAATAATGGAGTATATTTGTCTATCATTGTGAGCGTGTTACCTGTTTGGAAAATACACATAGCATGAATTAGCTCTAAACTGGACTCAAATAGCATACAGAAGGCAAATGATCATACAGAAGGAACATTAAATATACTGAAAACAATGGTAGGATAAATCATTAAAATCCAACAGGGTGATGAGAAGAACAAATGCATCATTCTAGGCTGCATAGCATGCAAAAAGCACAAATTTTATTTACCAGCAATAATAGTGCAGTTTCAATTATTTAATGACGTGTTGGCACAAAACTAAAATTAGAAATAAAACATGAGACCAGCACACAAAATAAAATAATTAAAATAAATTCCATTCCTTTCCTTACATGCAAGAGAATGGGAATGAAAAGTAAATACTGGCAGAGCAATGCATTAGTTTGCTTTTGAAGGTGACTGCAATGCTTAAATTCTATCAACACTGGAAGAAAAAGCTGAGACAGAGCAACTTACAACAGTCTTGTAATGAAGGCTCAGTATTGTTCAGTAATGAAAGCAAAGGTAATAACAGCCCAGTGTGGTTATAACCATGTTGGAGATAGGTGTGCTGAGACTGAGAGCATGGCTTATCAACAACAAGGTCTCTCTGCCTTTAAATAAATGGGGAACAAAGAATGCTGGGATGGGACTTTTCCGTTAACCAGTGTGCATGTTAGCAATGGATGCTGGTGGAAAATCCTGGTATTTTAATGTATTCTGTTACTTGCGTACAAGACGAACTGAAAGGGGCACACACACAAAAGAAAGGAACAGAATGTTTCAACAAACCAGTTTTTTAAGTGAAAGACAGAAAATCGAGATGGAAATGCAGAAGAACGGAATGGCAGAACAAAACATAGGGGAGAGTCATGCCATAAAATAATTTCACAATGGAACATAGGAAATTCACCAACTCCTAGTGAAAACAATGGTGGCATTAGATTCAGATGGAACTTGAGTCAAGAGAATTAGGTGTTAGCTTTCCCAAGCTGTCGTAAAACAAAAATAAATATGCAAAAGTTACATAACTTACATTTTTATTGGATGCATAGGCATAGAGTGCACTGGAAGATATGTTTAGAAACAAACAAAAGCAAAGTAGGATGCTATAGATAAGCTTGCCACTGTGCCACATATCATTTTATATGGCTTTTGGTGGAGGTGTAAGTGTGGCTCAATACTGACAGATGCAACTGTCAATTTTAGGAGCCTGCAGTGATCCATTTTCTTTTCTCTTTTACTTTTCCGTCTTTCCCTATAATTTCCTTGTATTTTTCTTTCTTTCAATCTCATCCCTTTCCTTTCTCTGATTAAGCTTTCCACACCCACTACTGACCTCACACACGAAGAGCCGTAGCCACTGTTGTTCCAAACCAGCAAATGTCATCATGAGAAAACTGTTTTGCCATGCAGACTAGCCCTATAAGAGAATAGTGAGTGTGAGGGGTGGGATCCTGCCTATGCAGGATTTGAACTATACTAAGTGGATTAGAACTTAAGCTTTAAAAGTTTATTTTTTTATTTTACTTTTTACTTAATTGTTGATAAACCACATTATGCATGCTTAATACACAAAAATACATGATAATGATCCAAACATAAAAGCAAATGATCAAATAAAGATATAAAGGAGACATTCCTGAGGACCTTAAGAAATCATTTCCAACAATATTCCTGGCTTCTCTATCCTCTGGTTTTTCTTCAGGTCATATAAATATATTGCTGTTAAAAATCAGTTAAAATCTAAAAACATTATACACATCATAAGATAAAGGTTTGCCCATACATTAGAAACAAATATGCCAATGCAGACAGGAGTAATACCCCCACTTTTTATTTTTCTTTAAAATTTTATTTCACTACAACTTCTATTTGCTAAAGACTGTGCTAAAGGCTCCCTTTGATATGACCAAATAATCCAAGCTGCCCAGGTGTGGGGGAAATGATTTTTTAGTTTGTAACAGCTTGTGTTCCGATCCATTCTGACTTCTTTCTATCCCAAGTCTTTCTCTTTTAACTCTTTGCATCATTCACCCATGCCTGATATTGTATAAGAATCTTATGTATGGGTAGCCAATTGGCTAGGAAGTTTAGAGGAATTTTGCCCTGATCCAGCTAGGGGACATACATGCTTGTCTTTAGCTGGATGATGGAACTAAATGCACAATCAAGTTCTAAACTTGCAGCTCCTCTCTTGGTCCAGCTGCCCGGGCTGTGTATGTGGAGTCCTGTTACAAAATCTACAGTGGTGTTGTGGAGGAAAGGAGGAAAGATGGATTTAATTCCAGCGGCTTCCCCTCCCCAAACAGCTAATCAATGTGCCAAGCAGCTAATCAATGTGATTACACCTTTTCCAACAAAGCTGCACAATCATAGCCCTGACTGCTGCACACACATTCGGCTGAATCGAAGCCATTTTGCTTAATTGTTCCAGAGAGAAAGAAAAAGCAACATATGAAAGATAAGACTCAGAAGACTTCTTCACCGTTATCACCATCATCCCACCGTTTCCTCAGGCAGTGATCCTGTTTTTGGAGCCAGTTTCACAATTCCTCAAATGCTTGGGTTTGGCAGCACTTCTAGCGACGTCCTCTTTTTCTTGCTAAGGCTTGCATGAGGAGCGAAGAGGTCCAAATTTCTGAAAGAAATCCTCCTCAGCACGCACCAGAGCTTCTTCATCGATGTAGACAGCTGCTCTCCTGGAGGCCACAAAATACTGCACTTTCCTCAAGTTCCACCCTAGCACATATTTTAACCAGCCGCAGACTGCAGCTGTGGACCTGCCAACGCCTGCATTGCAATGAACGTAGACATTGTGCCCGTTCTCCAGTAGCCCATGGAGGAGACAGACAGCCTGAGGCAACATTTGGACTCTACCTAGAATTAGAAACAGGACAACTGTCAAATGCATGACAACCCCACACTCACAAGTTAGAAACACTGGTAGTGGTTTGTGTTGTGCCTTAGTTCTAAAAGGTAAAGGTACCCCTGCCCGTACGGGCCAGTCTTGCCAGACTCTAGGGTTGTGCGCTCATCTCACTCTATAGGCCGGGAGCCAGTGCTGTCCGCAGACACTTCCGGGTCACGTGGCCAGCGTGACAAGCTGCATCTGGCGAGCCAGCGCAGCACACGGAACGCCGTTTACCTTCCCGCCAGAGCGGTCCCTATTTATCTACTTGCACCCAGGGGTGCTTTCGAACTGCTAGGTTGGCAGGCGCTGGGACCGAATGACGGGAGCGCACCCCGCCGCGGGGATTCGAACTGCCGACCATGCGATTGGCAAGTCCTAGTCGCTGAGGTTTTACCCACAGCGCCACCTGCGTCCCCGCCTTAGTTCTAGGTATGGTCATATTTAGCTTGTGAGGATTTTCACTGGAGGATTTTCATGATTGCTCTTTTACCTTTGTGAACTGTAATTAAATAACTGCTTTACAGTGACAGGTCAGAGACTAGCAGAAACAGCAATTGATCAGGAGTTCTTCACCCTGTGTGTCCTCAGTCTAATACCTATCTAGGACTCTGACCACAGTTCACATAAGTTGCTTAATGCTACTGACACTAGTGATCCTTAAAGGTATAGTTGAGTGTGTCATCTGAACCTGAGTTTGTGGGTAAGCTTTCTCTTTGCTAACCATGAGTTGTAGCCAACCTTATTTTGATGTACAGTATAGCCTTCCTGATTACAATTCTATGTATAAGAAAACACAGGGCATGAAGGGCTAAAAGTAAAGTCTAAGTCGGACAAAAGACACAGGTAAAGAAAGAGAAACAGAGACCTCAAAAACTGATTATATATAATGAATGTGTTCACCCCAATGCAGAGGCAGTGTTTTGCCTACACAAACAGGTTTTGGTATGCAGCTGTACTGCTGTGGGATATGATAGGTCACTGTCTGCAGGAACAAGCATCCAGCAACTGCCCATTTGTATTTTGCCCCCCATATTTTGCCAATGCTGCTCCATAATCAAATACTTCCATGTTTTCCATACTTCCACTTAACATATAATGCAACGGTCTTCTAAGAAGGCTGTAAGTAGAGAGATTTTCTCATTCCCTTTGTCCTGTTTTCCAGGGTGATCCTTTAATAAAAGATTCAGCCCAACTAATAAGGATGGAGAAATCTAATTCCCTCTGCCAACGAGAAAATGGGAAGAAAAATGTAAACTAAGGAAGAGGGCAAAAAACCTTTATAGCACTCACTCCTTGAAATGGCCAGTGTAACTTGACACTGCCCTTTGGCAACTGCCTGGAGGTTGGTTCTAATGATGTGGAGAAGACCAAACTGTTCCTTTTGAGTTGGGAAAAGAATGTGTTCACAAAGGTAATAATGGACTACTTTTTGTTGTGACTGTAACTCAAGAACATATGAAAACTGCACATACTAAAAAATAATAATATGGCAATAACCAGACTTTATACATTGAAGTCATTTCATAAAGGCCACCACCCACTCTAGGTGGTTTTTACCTGAAGTGGAGGGATGAGGGTGTGTGGGTGGGATTAGGGTTGATGACTCTTGCCTTCCCAAGCACTCAGATTAACAATAAATATTAAAAATTGCCTTACATCCCAGCTATGATCTCCAACATGACATTTTGTTAAGGGTGCTGGAAATTGTAGATCTGAGAGGTACTCTACAGTTCCCATGAATCTTTTTTTTGGGGGGGTGCTTTAAATTGGCTTTAGATGGTTTTCATGCAGTTTTAATCTCCAGGTAAGAGCTGGCCTTTTTCAGGGCAAGTCTGGGGCACTTTGAATTTGAAGTGATCCTCCTGCTAGGTTTCTTTCTTTTGTTGGCTCTTGTTCTTTTGCTTACTGCTGGCTAATTTAATTTTATTAATTCTTGCTATTAAGTTGTAGTTACTGTTTTCATTGTGTATTTTTTCATCTTTCATCGCTAGGCACTTCGCAAGTCCTTTTGGTTCAAAAAGGCAGGGCACAAATATTGTAATAGGTAGTAAATAAATTTTAAAAATGTTCAAGCACTGTGACTTGGAACAACACAAACATGAAGACCATTGTGGAAGTATATTGATTTTGCCTAGAAGCTATTCCTGGAACATTAAAAACAAAAGTGTAATTGTCTTCATCACAAAGTAATTTGAAATTCATGAGGGGTAGCGATCTAGTGTGTTGCATCAGAAGCATCAGATTTTTGTGACATGAACTTTTGTGGGGAACAGCATACTTCTGATGCATTAAAGTCACTCTGAGTGACCAGTATCAAATGTGATTCTTTGACTTTTTGAGCACATCTAGTTCCTGGGGCAAAGGGTAATATTTGATGTGAGTAGGGATAGGTGAATATTTCCGTTTCAGTTTCTCTGGTACTTATTTTTCTAATTTTAAGTTCAGGTTTCCACATTCCCGCATCAACTTGCAAACCTTTTTTTAAAAAAGAAATCATCCTGAAAACTCACCAGCATTGTAGTGTGACTTTCTCCTAATATACACATTTTTGCATGCATTTTTGCAAAGCAATTTCCCCTAACATAATGCATTTTGGAATATTATTTTCCACTGATATATTACTCTAATATATACATTCTTGTACACATTACTTGGCTGGAAAACTTTACTGCAAAATTTAGAGAAGTATAAATTTTGAAGGGTGGCTCTGTTTTGCTTCATATTAGATAGATTTGCATTAAATGTGAAATGAATACTTTCCCCTTCCACATCCCTAGATGGGAGAAAGTGTGTGCTACCTTTGAGATCAATCGTGATGGTGTACTTGTTTATATATGTGGGGAAACTTCAGATTATGAAATAAATCCCTGTATATTTTGAGTACTACTGATAAAAGCAACTTTTAATTTATTGGGTATATATGATTGCTTATCTTCATTATCATCATCATCTTATTATTAATCTCAGTAATAAGGATAGAGCTTTCTTTCAGGTACTGTTGAACATCAAGTGTATTCAGCGTATTTCGAGATTGCTCAATGCAGTTAAGAGCAAGCACAATTTAAACAAGTTTTTATATATGAGAGCTGCTTGCTAAATCCATAGAACACTCTGATCTCTATCTCTGGGCATATGGTGTGCCATGGCAGCAAATTGCCGGGAAGATAACAGCAAGTAATTTGTGAAGCCGTGTGAAAGCTGATGCTAACCTTTCACACAATGCATATCTTTTCCTGAATGTTTTTCTTCTTCTTCAAGTTATTCTAACTCATGGCAGAATGTGAATATTACCTTCAGTACTCATGTCTGGTGTTGGCATCCAGACATAAGCAAGGCCTTCTTCTTTATACAGCTTCATGAGAACTTCTGGACTCATAGGTTCAGGATAGCGATTACATCCCCAGGAATTCTGAACAACGTCCCATTCAGTCTGGAAGTTCATTACAGCTGTAATGCCCAACTCTCGTTTTAGCTTTACGGTCACATGCTCCACTTGACGAGGGCAACTTCCTAACCATATATTTGGCAAAATTCTGTAAAAAAAAACAAAACACTTTCTATAAACCAGTAACATGATATAAATACATAGGAAGGACATGATGGGTTTATGGCTGCAATAGCAGGACACCTATGCCGCCTGTCCTATGTATTTATATTGCTGTACAGCTGGGGTGGCTAACCACTTTGGCTTAAGATCTGCACTGACAGCCAGCCAAAGTATGAATGGCTGAAGTGTGCATGGCCCACACGGTCACTTGCTGGGCAGAGAAGGAATGGCAGAGACCGCCTCCCCAACCTGACCCTCCCAGTTCAGAATTACAACAGGGGTTTGAGGGAGGCCACAGCTCAGAAGCAGATGAGTGGAAAAGCTAGGAAATAATGGGAGAGGAGGAGGAAGAGGAAGCACCAGGAGGGCAACAGTTGACAGACACAGTGTCTTTAGAAAGCATTCCAGACCCCCCCCCAGAACCTGGAGAGCCTTGAAAGTAGGAGAGCAAAGGGCTCAGAAGCAAAGGGCCCTCAGTGCCACCCATAGGGGAGATGATGACGAATGAGGAAGTGGGAGAAAAAGGGGGTGGAGAGTCACTCGAGACAAGACCATTATTCTAAGAGGCTGCATCCCAAGCCTTTCTCTGTCAATGTTGAATAAAAAAGCAGGTGGTAAGAACTTTTCCCTGTCTTATCCGTTCCCGGCAACCTGCCGTAGGAGTTGTTTCCTCTGCCGCCTGACACTTGCACACATGCTCATTACATGCTCATACAGATATTCACTCAGGCTGGCAGACTCGTACACACATTCAGGCAGGTAGACACACACATTGAGACAGTGCTGGTGGGGAAACGGAGGCCGTTGCTCTCCACAGACATCTCACCGGTGTGGTATGTCAAATTCTGCCTGAACAGAGTTTGGAATGGGGTAACTTACACCAGCATGCCTTATGACAGTGGAATTGACCCCAGCTTTTTACAGTTAGGACTGCTCTGTGAGTCTGCAATAGGATTAGTTTGGATATGATAAAGCAGGATACAGTGTCCCATTGATGATCATTTGTGCTCCATTAACACTAACAGTATTCTAGCAGCCATTCATTCAGAAGGAAAACAGTGTTCTTGACATCAAGAGCTAACAGCTTTAGAAACTCTCAAAGAAAGTCTTTCTACATTTGCAGCAGAAAAGCCTTTTATATGGATAATTGATGTGAGCACTACAATATGACATACTTGTTAAACAAGCACGCTGTCATGAGGACTGCCAGCATAAGTTATAATAGCAATTTTTACCATTCTGTTTTTACAAAATCTGCCTTAAAGAGTTGGTTCATTTGACTGTGCTTTAATGAGAGAAGTTTAATTCCTCCATTAAATTTATCTCTCTAGAATGTGTGGGCTCTGCTTCCACATAGTAGTAACAAACGTATTAAATACTGAATATTCTCCCTCTATAAGGTAAAGCCTCTATTAATAGCAAAACAGACTGTGCTCAGTTGAAATACTGATTGTACCAACCCAGTATCAGGACAACTGTAGCTCAAGCAATAAATCAATCAAATAACTGGTGGAAGTTATGAAACATGCTATTGTTTGCGATGTTTGTTGTTGTTAAGCCTTCAGTAAGACCTTCCTTTTACATATAAATCATTGGGCTCAACAATACCTCACTACATTATTTACTTATTTTTACATTGCCTCACACTTTTCCTCCCAAAGAGCTCAAAGTGGCATAAACAATGCTCCCCCTATTTGTTTGTTTATTTTATATTGAAATGTAAAATCAAGCATAGAAGAAAACCATCACATAAAACAGATGGAAAATATTGAAGCAGACACAAAGAGGGACCATAGATTTCAGTAATACATTCCAGACTTTTGATACAATAGAAATTATAACAAATATATATATCTATATAAACACCATTGATATGGTTAACCCTTATATTCCAAGGAGATGAGCTTCATTTTCAGTTAACTTTAGCTTGTAAAGCTCTGCACATCTTCCTGTTTTACTATATTATCCACAGCCATTTATAGACGGGGGTAGGGTGAAATTGGTTATGTTCTGCATTATTAACGTAAACAATAAAATCTTATCAAATAGAAAGAAAATTGACCTTACCTGTTTGTCTCATGGTTCTTAGTTTATATGATCATTTTTAAAGGGCTGATTCCCTACATTTGTGTACCAAGAAGAAATATCTGTTCTGGCTAGATTCCTCCAAAATCAGGCTGTTTGGCTCCCCCTCCCAGTGTGGTGTAGTGGTTAAGAGCGGTAGACTCCTAATCTGGTGAACCGGGTTCACATCTCTGCTCCTCGACATGCAGCTGCTGGGTGACCTTGGGCTAGTCACACTTCTCTGAAGTCTCTCAGCCCCACTCACCTCACAGAGTGTTTGTTGTGGGGGAGGAAGGGAAAGGAGATTATTAGCCGCTTTGAGACTCCTTCGGGTAGTGATAAGGCAGGATATCAAATCCAAACTCTTCTTCTTCTTCTTATTGTCACAGCAAGCCTGTGAAGTAGGTTAGGCTGAGAGACAATGACTGTCCCATGGTCATCTAGAGAGCTTCATGGCTGAGTGGGGATTTGATCCCTGGTCTCCCAGATCCTAGTCCAACACTCTAACCACTACAGTATGATCTCTGTAATGTACAAACCGCTACACAAATGGTATGGGGGGGGTCTAACTGACCTCAGAGTTTTTTAATCACAAAAAGTGTTTTCAAAACTTCTTTGATTGAAAGTTGGCATTAAGTCTGGCAACCTGGTGAAGTGAGGGTGCAGGCTACTTACAAACATTTGTAGATTTGACTGGGGTCTCAGTGACCTCCCCCACCAAAAGCTGAATTAGTAGGTTTTGTGCAAATTAATGGGTGGGGAGGTTCACAAGGAACGTTCTAATTTTGGAAAAAACATTTAAACAATTCAGGTTTGAAAAACAAAACACCTAGGTGGTTGTCACCAATAGAAGCTAAGGAGGTGAAAAAACTTAATATGGAATCCAAATGGCCAAAATATTGGGAAATTTTAGAGCAAGATGGTGAAAAAGTTAAATTACAGAGTTATGAGAAACTGAAGTTTAAAGTACGAGCTTGGCTTCATTATCATCAAATAATGGAGGTGTTTAAACAAGACAGGAAAATTGGCTTCCAGGTGGAGAGGTCAAAGCTAGAAACTGAATTGTTAGAACCCAATACTAAGAATTTGTCAAGAATGTATAACCTGCTGTTGAAGTGGAATACACAAGATGAAACAGTCAAATCAGCAATGATTAAATGGGCACAAGACTTTGGTCATGATATTATGTTTGCTGACTGGGAACAGTTATGGACCACCGGTATAAAGTTTACGGCATGTAATGCCTTAAGAGAGAATATTATGAAAATGATTTATAGGTGGTACATGACCCCAGTCAAGCTTGCAAAAATTTATCATTTGCCCAATAATAAATGTTGGAAATGTAATGAGACTGAAGGAACTTTCTACCACCTTTGGTGGACGTGCCCGAGGATTAAGGCCTTCTGGGAAATTATCTATAATGAAATTAAGAAGGTCCTTAAATGTACCTTTCATAAGAAACCAGAGGCTTTTCTCCTGGGCATGGTCGGCCAATTGGTGTCAAGGAAGGATAGGACGTTTTTTATGTACGCTACTACAGCAGCAAGGATTCTCTTAGCAAAGTATTGGAAGACACAAGAACTACCCACGCTGGAAGAATGGCAGACGAAGGTGATCGATTATATGGGACTGGCGGAGATGACTGGCAGAATCCGTGACCAAGGAAAAGAGACGGTGGAAGAAGATTGGAAGAAATTTAAAGTATATCTTAAGAACTGTTGTAAAATTAATGAGTGCTAAAATGTCAAGGGAAAGGAAAAAAACAGAATTACAGCTGTAATTGATTAAGTAAGTGAAGAAGGGAAAAAAGAAAATGAGTAATTAGTTAATTGATGTGAGAGGTTGCTGAAGAAATTTTAAAATAAGGATGCAGAAAAGGGGAGGCATGGGGAAGTCAGGGAAGTAAGGTTCATGAAAAAGAGGTCTGGAAATTATACGTGTTTATATGTATTGTTTGTTTTTGTATTGTGTATTGTTTTGTTTTTAATCTATGTTGGAAAATTAATAAAAAATTCATTAAAAAAAATAAACAATTCAGGTTTGTAAAGGTTTTATAAATCTGTGGGGTACCATATGTTCATTTTTTTCCTTCAGTACTGTTGAGGAATGCGGTAGAGTTGACCTCAAATGCCATAATAGTAAAAACATTGGTGTATGTGTGCCTCATGGCAATTTTCACCTCAGCACGGCTGAGATCTACCCAGAACATGGAGTTGTGAAAGAGTGACACAAATGTTTATTTTTTCAGTGCTGTTGGGGTGTATTTGACCACACTTGCTGATGGAGGATTAAATTGTATATTTTAACCAGGGGGCCATGGAAAACCAACATTCATATGATGTATAATCCTTGTTCATTATTTTCTTGTTTCTAGAAGTGTAGATCCCAAATCAAGCAGAAGAAATAAAGGCATTTTCACCCTCGTGGCATCTGTTCCTGTTCCCTGAGCCTCATGTGAAATCCCAAAACTGACGTGGGAACAAGCTTCATGCACCAGACATTTAAAATTAAGTTCAGATCCTATCTATAGTCCATTTGGTCATCTTAAATCTACAGTGTCACAATGGCTCCCGACAACTTGGCTTTCTCTTATGTGTTCTTGAGAAGCTGTTTGAGTTGCAACTATCATTTTCTATAGTCGACAAAATAACAGGGCAATGCAAAGCTTATCCTTGAGTTAGAATCAGAACACTAAGGAGCAGTATATCCATTATAGAGACGAGGAAAAGAAAAACAAACTGTGAATGACTCACACTTCTAATTTCCCTCCTTGCGGTATAACACGAGCAGTGGGACTTAGGGATTTATCCTCTGATAAGATTCACAAGCCCCAAATAACTACTGGAGCTTAGAGCTCTCACAGTGAATGAGATCTTCAAGTCCCACTTTCCATATAATAGGGGACGTGAGGAAGTGTGTGGG